TATGAATAGTTAGTATATCCGAGACAATCTATATTTATAGTGAGTTAATTTTAGAGTAAATTATTAAATTAATCTTAATATTTCACAGTTATTATAATTTAATTTTTAATAATTTTTTATTACGAGAGAAGCAAAGAGTAATCTAAGTGAGAACAAGAAATAAAGATGGCTTCCTTCTCCTGCAAAAAGATAGCTTAGCGGAACTAGGGTCTACAGTTAACTAATTATCCTTACAACGTGTCTACATACTATCACAGGACCAAGAAAAAAGCGATCTGAGTTTAACAACAGATCAAATAAGGGGGTTGCTAATGTGAAAAAGAGCACTCAGTACTCCTACAAGCCTGTTCATGCAGGGCCTTTTTTGAACAAATATGGCGGTATTGGTCCAGAGCTAAGACTGTAGGGAACAACAACTACATCAATGCCAGCATCGGTGGATTCTATATAAATCCTACATACAGAACTACAACGAATTAGAGTGGTAGGTTTGCAAACTTCAATTAAAGAAAGTCCAAAAATTCCCAGAACAACCTGAGTGGACACTCAACATGGAAGATTAATGACAGGTACTCTCTTCTTACCTGTACTTTATATCAATGAGGCACAATATAAAAAAAAATCCAAGTTAAAGCATAAACATTTGAGTTTCATGTTTATTAATCAACGCTATCGTTTTATTTGCTGTTCCATCTTGTGTTTTATAATTTGCTGCCATTATCATGTTGTCTTAAATGAGAGAGTACGTGGATTATAATGTTAAACAGAGCATAATAGTATATTAACCTACTCCCTAAGCAATTTGTTCTATTAGTTCGTCATAATTTGGAATCGACCGTGCTCAACTAACCATGCGAAGGATGCATCAGGTGGTGGGCAGGCATGGATGTGAAGACCTTGCCCATACGAAGCTCTCAAGCCATAACCCCATCAATTTGAATTTACCATGAACGCACAACAGATTACCAGCAACTCCATATATACTCAAACTTTAACAGAATAAACTCAAACACATTATTAAACCTAACTGCTCTCGAAAAAAAATAATATATGTCATGCAGCCATAGACAAAAGATGCCTAGCACATGCAGTATAAAAGCATAGAAGCATTATTGCAGACGCCTAAATTCTACTACCGGCATCGGATCATTTAGTTCTTTTGGAGTTGTCTTGAACATAAGTACGAAAGAGGACAACCTTGCAAACATTTGGGATAAACAGGGCGCTAAACCAAACAGCTATTGCAATTAATCACAAACCCTAAGCCAAAAGCAAACACAAACCTGAGAGAAATTAAATGGACAAATCAATTATCGAGAGTTCACAATCTAACTGGAAACAACACACCGACAAAAAAACACTTGTTCGGCCAAAATTTATAGCTGATTAGGTAAAGTTCCAAGCTGAACCGAGGCCTCCGGAAAGGTAAAGGCACATGCGTAAATTATTCAGACTGATCTCAAATTGGTTTGGATGTTTTGCAGAATGCTGGTTCCGACTCGAACTAGAACCCCTCCATCAAATCAGTGTAGCCGTATATCTGCAATCCAGAATAATTCAGAAAAGAAGCTTACGTGACCTAGTCCTATTTAAATAGCAATCCCTCAGAACCAACATTATATAGCTTAAAATTAACTAAGGTGAGAGAAGAAGGCTCCGGCTCCGACAAGGCTCACCGGGTGGTTGACGGGGTAAGATTCCTTAACTGCTTTCCATCGACGGCGCCGCGCAAGGCGTTGCTAAGGGGATTTTCAACTCCCTCGTCGACAGGGTTCTTGCGAATCAGGAAGCTGCAGTGCGCGAGTTCGAGCACAGTGACGACATTGGCTTGATTATATCATCTTAATTATACACTCTTATTATTTTATTGATGATAATATATAATTTGTTATTTTATTGTAACATATTCATAATATTTAATTTAATATAATCAATAAATTAATTAATGTATTAGTAAATTTATATTTTCTAAACGTTTGACTATATATTAATTTAATTTATTATTTAACATAAGTTAAATTAAGTGTATGACATAATTATTGAATTTATGAATTTATCTTTATAAAATTTAATACTACCCATATATATATAGTTCATCAAATAAAATATGACCAATAAAATTACTCAATTTTCTGCAAAAATTACTTTAATTTAGTGCATTAATTTTAAAGTGAAATTAATTAATTTTATATTTTAACGAGTTATAATATAATAATTTAATAGTTTATCTAAAAAGAGATTATAATCTACTCATAAAACATAAGATATTAATTGTAAAGTTGAATCTTATCCTTATCATATTAAAATAATTTATTAAAATATACACCATAGTTAAAAATAATATATTATATATTTTAAAAATATTAAACTCATAGATTATATTAAATTTAATTTAATTTAGTCGTAACAAAATTTATTTATCTCACGTATAGATTCAGTATTTTTATAAAAAAATTATTAGTACAGCAAGAAAAAATTTCAGTACAAAATATATGTATTTATTAGTTACGTGATATTAATAGTGAGATGTATAAATAATTTTTAAATTAAAATATTAACATAAACTAATAATTTATAATTAAAAAATAATTTACCAATTAGTTGTGAGGAAAGAGGTCTTAGTTTTTCTAAATTTTTTTCTTTAGTTGGACTTGTTCTTTCGTGTTTGCAGCTTTTTAAGGGTAAAGAATTGTATTGACTTCCTTATTATATCTATTAAAACCATTGATAAGTTATGTATCTGTGGTGTGTATATATATATATATGTACATATTTGAAAAAAATGTATATATATACACACACACAGAGACAAGAATTAGAGAACATGGCTATCGCTGGAAATGTTTGAAAAGATTCCCATGATAAATTTGGCACAGAAGTGCGTCGCCTCCATTTCAAGATTCTAATTCCTAGAGCATGAAAAGATATATGTGATATATATATATATATATGTGATATATATGTGATATATATATATATATATCGATCTTATCTTATCAGGCAACGTATAAAAAAATTATTCCTTCCTCACTCCCACTCGTAGCGTAATCTTCAAGCTGAAGCTCTGAAGATTCCTTTCACCCCTCCACTCCACACCTATATAAAGACCAACCAAGTTTCGCACTTCAAACACAAAAGAAACACACACAAAAAAAAGAAAAAACTCAGAGCAATCAAGAAAAAAAAAGTAAGAAAATGGAAGGAACAAGCGTTCAGGTGAGAAGACAAGTGAGAGACTCGATCGAACAAGGTTTCGACACGGCCCACCGTGTGACCGACTTGGTGACCTTTCCTTTAGCGCCACTCGACGGCGCCGTACACGGCGTTGCTCGTGGAGTCTTCAACTGGCTCACCGACAGGCATCCCGAGCCTGCAGCCACTGGTTCAAAATGCGCACCGCCGGCCCCAGCCGTGCAACCCACCAGTTGCAAGGTCGACCCGGCGGCTTGCTGTAAGCCCGGGCCTCAATTTGGTAACCATGGAAACATTGGCGCACAGAACAATACTACTGGAAACAACAATAACCTTGACGCTCGCATTAGCGGACCCATGAACTTCGGAAACCCTAAGGGCTTTTAAGTAGATACGTAGCGTCATGCGCGCCGGGGTTATCATGGGTTCCTGCCAGAAAAATATTTATGAATAAGGTTGCTGCATGCTTTTGCGTGTTGTACGTGGGGTGTCTGCATGTTTATGAAGGTTATCTATAAATAAAAGAAAATGCCTCGGTGTTTAGTAATTACCGTACATATTTCATACAAATATATATATATAATATATATATACGAGATATATATCTATATCTCTGAACCCACCTTCAATTTGGGCTTTAATTCTCTAAAAAAAGCTGTGAGCCTTAACATATTCATATAGATATATCTCTCGTATATAACCTATTCACAGAGTTACTTGGGTCTTTCCTTTGGGCCAGATTAAATTTATAAATCATAAATAAAAATATAAATAAAATTTAAGTAAAATAATATTTATTTGTAAATAAGTTTAAAATTATTTTCCAAGTAAATTGTAAAATTAAAAATTTCTCGTATTAACTCAAAAAAAAGTTTTTTATTTTTGTGAACATGAAGATAAATGATAAATTTTTAAAACGACCCTGTTTCGTGGACATGACCACCTAGTATTATGTCTTGTTAAGCTGTGTGTCTCTTTTTTTTGTTGAATACGAAGAAGAAAAAAAATAAAAAAAACAATTAAATAGCACACGTTTTATATTAAAAAAATTTATTAAAATTCTCCCAAAATATATTTAAAAATTTAATAAACGATTGTTTTAGATCATAGAATCCGATAAGTCATTACAGAAATTTAGTAAGCGTGCGTCTCTTTAAATTTGATGGATACAAGTTCCATGATGTTGGTTTTACAATTTCAAATTAAAAAGTTATGCGGGATTATTTAAAAATAAAATTAAAGTACTTTAGTGTTTAAGTTGTATTAAATATATATATATATATATATACACACATGCATTAATTTTAAAAAATAAGCAATTGTAAAATTAAATTGTTATAAAAAAATAAAATGTTATTTTTTAATAAACCAATAAAAATTTTGTTTATTATAAATATTTTATAAGTTACATTATTATATATATTTTTAGTTTTATATAGATGTAAAATGATATTTGAAATAAGTAGTTTTTTTAAAAAAATTAAAATTAGAAATAAAATATTTAATTTTTGCTTATTCAAAAAATTATTTTAATAATTTAGTAAGCATTATATTTTTATATAATGCAAAAAATAAAATAAAATATTTAAAGCTTTTTATAAATATAAAATAAACAAACGCTGCCGTTTCTGATAGGCCCTTAGCGCACGCGCCTTCCATGCGAGTGAATATCCAAAGCGATATGACAAAATATATCTTCTTTTATTTTTATGATATTATCTCACAATTTTGTTTGTACTCTCTCTCTCGCTCTCGCGCAAAGCATCTTGAGTGGTCGTTAAGGCATAAAACGCATCGTTTTTAGCCTTCAATACTTTTCTTCTTCTGTTCCACCCGACGCACTTTCTTTTCTCTCTCTCAACAATTGTTCTCCCTCGGAGAAGAAGAAACAGAACAGTAACAAGAGCCCCCGACAGAAGCACGGAGCTCCCTCCAATAATCTAAATTCTTTATTCTCGCTCGTGCCTTTTGCATCTCTGTTTCGTTTTATCTTCTGTTTATTTAAATTCCGCAACTGCTTCACATCTCGATCCCCTTTAACTGCTGCATTCAATTTCAGAAGTTGAAGGTACACTGTGCCTGCACAAACTTGAGACACTGGTTCGGTAAAGAAATCATTAGAGGTGACTTTGGAGATATTGTCCTCTCTTTTTTCTCTTATAAATTTAATTTTCTTTTGATATGTGTGTCTTTCTTTTTTTGGCAAGAAACTGGGTAAGTGTTTGTGCATGTATACGATTTGATGTTTGGTTTGGATTGTAATGCCTTGTTTTTGTTTACTTTTGAATGTTTTATGGTAGTTTGAAATTAAAGGGGATTGAAATTTAGGGTTTTCTTTTGGGTGTTGCAGAAATATGCATTATGGTTTCCCAAAGGCTTCAGAAGTGTAGGAGCGTATTCCAGGTTTCTGGGGACTGCCCATCTGGTTAATCTGTTTGAGACATTGTCAAGGTTCCTTTTAAATTCGTGTTCATTTTTGTCCCTCTACTTTTGGTTGGCAATTTGACGCTTGGATTTGGCATACTAGTTAGTTTATAGGAAATAGGTGAATTCTTTGACAGAGATTTTCATTTCTGGAATAGGTTGTGCGTAGATCCAGGTCAACTTATATTTTTAAGTTGAGTATATATGCACACTATTTCTTTAGGTTTAATAAAATTACTGTAGAGGAGTATAGTACTGTGCTTGGCTTGGGGAAGAAGCCATAATGATCCAATTTGATCTAGAATACTTTAAACAATCTGCTGAGAAAAAGAGATAAACACCTTGTTGCAAATGGACCATGGTGCAGCGCCAGAGTGTGTCATAAATAGGTCAGAGTTGGGTACAGTCTTGTGATTTCAATATTTACTGTGACATTGATTATGTTTCTTAAACTCAATCGCTAAAAACTTCTCTGATTGCTATGTAGAAGTTAGGATTCCATCCATATTTTGCACATTCGGTTTTTAAATCTTGTGAGGAGTTTTTCCAAATTTTAAATGTTTGCTTTTCCTTGGTATACACTGTTTGAGAAGTTATTTTGGTTTCTTTTAAATATTTTTGGAAATATTCATGTCCCAGAAATATTTACAATGCAATTCTGGTGCCACTAGGAATCAAAAGCCTAGTGTGCTGATTTTTGTAAGTGGGTGTTTGTCTTACCCTAAAAATTTTGCTTTGATCAGTTCATATGTCCTCTAAAAGCGTAAAAATTTAGTGGTGCCCGGTAATTTATGAAGAACTGATAAGCTATGTTACTTTGGCCTCCAATGCAAGTGTCCGGTATGGGTATGCAATTAATTGTTTGACTCGATAAGTTTTGTTGTGAAAGATACGGGAATTTGGTCAGTAAGAATCCAAAAATTTGGTACTGGTAATTAGATTCATCTGATATGACAAATAAAATAATGAAAGCCTTTAAGAAGCTATGACTGTGTCATATATAGAACAAAATATAGGCTCTATCACAAAACATGTAGGTTCATATTTGCGATGAATTTAGTAATGGGTAAGTGATTGAGTATTTTTTATACGAAAACGTTCAAATCTTAACATTCAAGAACTGGTTTATAATTTTTTGTGTTATTTTCCACTATTAGCCTAGGATTCTTTATTATCATTTTATAGTATCATTCTCATACTCCCTAGCTTTGTATCGTCAATGTCTTGTATGCATATCAATTGCTAGACACAGAAATCACATATACACCAATAATGTATCGCGTCCAATACAGTTTTTTTTTTTTTTGAATAAGAAATATGAATATATTAAAAGAGTACCAACGAGTTGCAACTCATTTACAAAAGTATTACATATTTGTTAGACAATCAATTATATACCCAAAGTCGTCCACCCTATATAAGTCATGCCCTTAAATAGTTGATCCAAATAAATGGAACCATCTATCCCTAATTTTCGTAATGTCATTTTCTTTACCCTCAAACACCCTCTTATTCCTTTCCTTCCAAATGATCCAAAAATCAGTCAAAGGGATTAACTTAATTAGCTTTTTGTCCTTTTTCCTTAATCCTGCCCAAGCCTAAAGCTCATCCTTGATCGTACTCGCCACCACCCAGCACATCCCAACAATCTGAAAATCATAGCCCACAGATCCTGGACAGCAGAACAGTGAAGAAGAAGATGGTTGCAGGATTCCTCCTGCTTTTCACACATGTAACATCTGTTAGCCAACATCATTTTCCTTCTCATCAATTTCTCATTTGTCAAAATACAATTTCTGCTGGCTTCCCAGAAATAATGTGTCGTGTTAACACAGTAATGATATTAGGTTAAAAGGTCTGAGCGAAATAGGTTATACCTATGTAACTTGTATCCTCTTGCAATGTTTTTATATGCTATTGTAAAGCATACAAGTCAACAAGTTATAAGTTCCTGCATTTTAACACTTAGCCAAACACCACCTAATATGCTTATTGAAGGTTTTTACGGCTATAATTTTCATATGGCAATACGCAACTTTTTAAGTGACCTTAAAGGATGTTCATGCAATATGGTAATCCAAGGGGTATTTGTGTTGCACGTGTGCAGTGATGTTGGCAAGCAAAGGTCTCACTTCAGAAACTTTAGAAAATGGTGGCTATATCTGATATCCGCCATCTGTGCTTGGGTTGTAGTTCATGAGATTCCTGGCCTCTTTTGTTGCTATAGAGTTGGTTTTATGTGTTTATGGTTGCTGGTGGAAGTTATGTTTAGTTAACAGAGTACGCAAAGAACAACTGAAGCATGTTTCTTACCTCATCTTGACAATAAATGGTATTATGCCCAAATGTGCAGCTTTTCCCTTGTTTATTAATTCTATTGGGCACATCTTAAACAAATAAATGAATCTACCTGAATTTCATTAGACCTTTTGTTTTCTATTAGCAATTTGTTTAATTAATCATTTGGTGTATACAATTTGCAGGAAAAGATGGCTCTTCAGAAAAATGTTCCTTCCGGTGATTCAGTTTCTATTAGAATGAAATCATTGAGTTTCTCCAGCAAGGTGCCCCAGAATGGTCAGCTTGTAGATCCAGAAACCAGTCGGACTCTGGAGCCAGATATTGATGTTGACCTAAGGGAAATATATTTCTTGATTATGCATTTCCTCTCAGCTGGACCTTGTCAGAGGACTTATGTACAGTGTTGGAACGAGCTTCTTGATCACCAGCTTCTGCCTCGAAGATATCATGCTTGGTACTCAAGATCCGGGGTACGTAGTGGAGATGAAAATGATGATGGCAAATCATTTCCACTGAACTATACTGACTTGGTTAAGAGGTATACCTTGTGCCTTTGATATTCTAAATAAGGTAATCTATCTTTAGGATAAAAATGTCAAAGATGACGGAGGTGACAATACGTTTTTGTTGTGAATTTATATGTGTATACTGAATATTCAACCTTGGAATTGCACGTTGCTAAACATTTATATTGGTTATATACATGACATCTAGCTAATTTTTATTTATAAGGTTCTTTATTTGTTCATACATTTGCAACTTTTGCCATCGTTATTCCCTGCCCAAAATTTTAAATATTGTTATTCTTTCAAATGGACCTTTTTTTCTCTTTACAACAATATTTGACTTAATATTTCCTGTTACCATGTGTGCATATTTAGGTATCCTCACATTGAAAGGGATCACTTGGTAAAGCTTCTGAAGCAATTGATTGTAAGTAAGGCCTCCCCATCACAAGGCATAGGTGGTGGAAATGCTCCAAATGCAGCAGATGTTCCTACTCTTCTGGGAATGGGGTCATTTTCACTTTTGAGCTGTAGGTGACATTCGAGGATTTGGGCATTTTATAACTTGGATCTGTAGTGTTCACAATTGCATTTGATGTATTCTTTCAAGTTCTTACCAGTAAAACAACTAGCTAATTGCACACTGATGTGAAGTTCTTGCACCATTATTGAATGCTCACTTTATTACATGGTGAAGATTTTTTTATTAAATTTCCTCTTCCCAGTTCTTTCTTGCCAATATTTTTGTCTATGCCTGTTTGCCCCAGTTGAAGCCTTTTTCCTTTTTGTTTTTGTTTTTCAATTTCTTGTTAATCCCAGATGTTTCTACCTTTCAGATGATGGAAGTAAAGGAAAGAATGAAATTAAACAACCACCTATTGGCATGCGTTGGCCTCATACTCGTGCTGATCAGGTTCGTGGGTTAAGTTTGAGGGAAATTGGGGGTGGTTTCACAAGACACCATCGTGCACCGTCTATTCGTGCAGCATGTTATGCCATTGCAAAACCACGTACGATGGTGCAAAAGATGCAAAATTTGAAGAGGCTACGTGGACACCGGAATGCTGTCTACTGTGGTATGGGTTGTATTGCTTAGATCATGAAGTCTATTCAAACCCAAAGAATTTTGGTTAACTAGGATCGTTTTCTGAGTACATCTGAGGGAATGGAACATATGCAACTTTTTTTATCTCTCTCTCTCTCTTTTAATTGCAAGTAATATATGTCGCATTTGTATTTGTATAATTTTATTTCTATATGTGAGCTTTACATCTTATCTTCTTTCCTTAGAAACAAATGAATGCTAATTGATATCAACCTTGAAGTTCCAATTCTACTTGAAACTGGTTCCTTTCCCATCAAACCAATAGTTATTTAATATTTATTCACATTATCATTCTTGCCTGCTAGTTTCATAAAGAAAGTCGGGGTAAATATCTGTGTAGAGACTGATTTTACAGCCAAGCCAATCATTAATTGCTGGTGGCTTAATATAATTAAAGTACAAAAGCTTATAATTATCCTTAAAAAAATGCTTCTATAGACATGCCAAATATCTGAAACAGCATGGGACCATGTCAAATCAGTGGATAATATTGAATATTGTATTGGCTGAGCTTGTTATACTCCAGTCTTCTTTCCTTTGGATTATCATTTTTTTCACTTCAATTTTCTCTCTCTTATTTCTGTTTAGGCTTCTATCATTGGTAGTTCATTTACATATTCCTTCCTACAGTTATTTTTTGGAATCACATGGTTCAAATACAATCTCCAGTTCTAATTGTCATTGAAGCTTTTGTGCATAAATTGCTGACCATTATGCAAATTCTGCAGCTACATTTGATCGTTCAGGCAGATATGTTGTCACTGGTTCGGATGACCGTCTTGTAAAAATATGGTCAATGGAGACTGCGTACTGTTTGGCCAGCTGCCGTGGGCACGAAGTGAGTTTGGTTGATCTATTTTGGTTCTATTCACAGTTGTATGTTTATGTTACGTGTTTGCAGGGCTATGTATGTATCCATTGTTAAATTTTTCAAAAGATGCTAGGAGTTTCCACTATGTGTTTGCTAATGTTGTGTTCATTCTGTGTTATGTCATGCCAAATTCATAAAAAGGGTGATATAACTGACTTGGCTGTGAGTTCCAACAATGCCATTGTAGCTTCCTCATCAAACGACTGCATCATTCGTGTTGTAAGCCACTCCAATCACCTAATAAATAAGCTGTTTTAGAAGATAAGTCCTTGTTATTTCCAATAGTCAATTTACTTCCACTTTGGTCTTTGGTAGTGGCGATTGCCAGATGGGTTGCCAATTTCTGTTCTGCGTGGACATACTGGAGCTGTTACTGCCATTGCATTTAATCCCAAACCTGGTTGTGCCGGCCAGCTTTTATCGTAAGGCTGATATTTTTTTTGTTAATTGTGGAAAATCATATCTGACTTCTGATTTCCTTGATTTTGACTTTTCCCCCGCTTTTGTGGGTTGCGAGCGGAGGGAAGAAATGATGGGGGCCTGAGGGCATGCGATACGTTCTATTTATTTGTATAATTTTAGTTCTTGAGATTTGCCAACTCAATAATCAATTGCTGCAGCTTTGAACTATCTAAAAGTAAACACGTGGAAATATTATTTCCTGGTTCTTTACAATGGTTTTTTACAAATTATTTTTCTTATAGAATTTTGTAGAACAAAATGAATCTTATTTTTCTTCTCTGAGTTGTTGGCCAGTTTACATTTGCTCCTGAAGTCTAAGTGTAAACTATGGGGCATTCAAGGGTCTGTATTTTCTCATGTGATTAATTACTTTTACTCACAATAAATGTTAAATAAGTCCCATCTTCTTTCCAACTAGATTAAGTGTTATAGGTGATTGAAGTTCATGATGTTTCTTTGTCCTGCACAGGTCATCTGATGATGGCACATGTAGGATATGGGATGCTAGAAGTTCCCAGTCTAGTCCTCGGATATATATTCCTAGGCCTTCAGTCTCTGTTGGTGGTTAGTTCTCTTCCATGCACAAGTTATGATTGATTGAATTACTAACTGGTGGTGAAGAACTTATATAGGCAAAATTGAATGTCTCAGGGAAGAACAGTGGTCCATCCTCTAGCAATGGCCGGCAGAACCATCAAATATTTTGCTGTGCTTTCAATGCTAATGGATCTGTCTTTGTTACCGGTAGCTCAGACAGTCTTGCTAGAGTATATTTGGTAATTATTATTCTGATTTCATTTCTTTTAATATTTTGTGAAGTATTTATGTATCTTCTTAGCGGTTGCAAGCTTCTGGTCCATAGATTAATAATAATTTGTATTGTTTTTATACTAGTCAAAACGAGATGCAGCTGCAAATCTAGTATCTTGTTTTAATGGGGATTAACCATTTGCAGGTTTGCAATACTCCAAGGTCAAATGCTGATGACTCAGACCAACCAACTCATGAGATAGATGTGTTAGCTGGCCATGAAAATGATGTGAATTATGTACAGTTTAGGTTAGTTGTCCTTCGGTTGCTAACACCGTTATAAGAACTGATAACTTAGACCAACCAAATCATGAAAATGGTGTGTGTTAGACATGAGAAAGATGTCAATGATGTGTCATTTTAGTTACTCATTTTTATGCTGTATCTTATTAGTAAGATTTTGTGTATTTTATTTGCAAGACTCTTGTTATTTGGGATATGATGAAGAATGGGTTAATGCCTAAATAGATTAGACGTCACAAGTCTTTTAGATGTAAAACTATTATACTATTTAAGGGGTTTATTATTATATTATTTAGAAATGTTATTATAGTTTTAGTAACTTAGAATTAGTATTAGGATTACTATTCCTAATTCTACTAATTTACTATTTTTTTAGTTTAATTCGATTTAGAAAAGTTACTTAGAATGTTGTAAATAGTTTTGTAATTTCACTTATTGATCATTCAAGTATTTGAGAGTTTCTTAATTTTCTAATCGTGATGCAGTCAAACCTTTAATTGTGATACTTTAGACTTCTTAGATATGATGTCTAAGAAATCCTTGGTGTGATATCTATGTTTTGATCCCAAAATCCGTAATTGGACAAATAAAACTTATTTATCATATATTAGGATAGAATGGTTTGTATAGTCTGAGTAAGGAGTATCTGGGATAGAATGGTTTGCGTAGTCTCAGTATGGGGTAAGGCAAATGGTTCTGTCAAGGTTGCCTTTATATAATTTGATAAATGTTAGATTAAAATCAGCCACCTTTATTTGATTTTGTGTTCGGTTACCTTATCCTTGTTCTTATATTTTTTTTCTTTGTTAATATTTTTGTTGTATGAAAAAATTTACCATACCATGTCATTTTGCAGTGGTTGTGCTGTGGCATCAAGGTTTTCAATAGCAGACTGCTCAAAAGAAGAGAATGTTCCGAAGTTTAAGAATTTGCGGTGTGTAGATTGTCTTTTTCACTTTGCCTCTTATGTAGCATATTAGATGGCCTAGTCTTTCTCTTCCTCTTTTTGAGTACTGCATTTTGGTTTCTGTTGTATATTTTCCACATGAAAGAAGGTAATACCCACCCTCTTTTCCCATCTGAATGGAAGAAGGTACGACCCCATTTGATGCTTCAGTATGATCTCTTTAAGACACAAATACAATTCTATTTCTTCAGGTTTTCTCATGACAACATAGTTACTTGTTCTCGCGATGGAAGTGCAATCATTTGGGTTCCAAGGTCACGAAGATCACATGTAATTTCTAATTTAACCGTTCATTTTTCTCAGTACTATTTTCCTTATTATGCCATGATAGTCAATACATGCTTTCTGCTCTTTTGATAATGAAATATATATATTTACTGGTTCTTTTTGCATTTGTTATCAGGGAAAAAATTGTCGTTGGACAAGGGCTTATCACCTCAAAGTTCCACCTCCACCAGCACCTCCTCAACCTCCCAGAGGGGGTCCACGCCAAAGAATTCTTCCCACTCCTCGAGGTGTTAATATGATTGTGTGGAGCCTAGATAATCGCTTTGTGCTTGCAGCTATCATGGGTACTTTCTTTTTAAATCCCTATCCTTGTCTAAAGTTGTTTGAGACAGTTAATCACTTGGGTAAAATCACATGGTACTTTCTTTTTTATTTATTTTTGGCTGAGACAATAAACCCCTGCTTAAAGGCTGGAATTGAACCTGGAATTGAGCCTAACCCACATATAATGGTTGGGAGGACTGACTATTGTGGCAAACGTCTCCTCATGTGCATCATGTGCCACTTAGTCTTTCGTAGTTCATGTGTTTTTACTTTTTCTTGCCTCTTTCTTCTCTAAGCATCTGTTTAACTATTGCATATTTGTTGAGCAAATACAGCCTTTCTTCATATTTGATTTACCATAAGGGTGTTTGGTATTGATGAAAGAAATGGTGCATAAAAAGCACTATGGTGTTTAAATTACTTAGAGAAGATAAATTCATATTTAAAAGACAAGTAATTAAATGTCTGAATAAAATGCTGATGTAAAAAAATAAGCAGATGTTTTTAAAAAAATTAAGAAAAGACATTCTTATTTACAAATATTTTATAATTTATACCATTATATATATTGTTAATGTAAGTAGATATGAAGGGAGTAGTTAAGTCAATATGTTTTTAATATAAACAAGAAAAAAGAATCTAGAATGTTAGGAGTTAGGTGCTTAATTTCGCCAGTCTTAGAATAACTTTTGAGAACCTAATGAGTGCCGTACTTTTCACATTACCAAATGCGTAAATTGGAGCAGAGCACTTTAGCTGCTTATAAATAGAAAAAAGCAATCCCAAACACTATCTACATGTGCTTCATAATTAGCATAGGATTGATTTGATTTTTGTGGGCTAAACAATACATTTGTGTAATGCAGATTGCAGAATTTGTGTGTGGAATGCTGCTGATGGTAGCTTAGTTCATTCTTTGACTGGGCATACTGAATCAGTAAGTGGTTCAGTTTTCCTATTTCTTCTTCTCTTGAACCTTCTTGCCTTTTTCACATTCATTCTGAATAAGAAACGACTGTAGGATCCCTTTAAAAAGATGACTACGGGGACATGTATTCTAGTAACAAATCAAGATGCCTGCTAACTTTTTTCTAATGGAAAGAAAAGATATTATTAGGAAATGAAAGAGGTATATCAGTGGATAATAGGATTTCCTCCTACACAAAGAAAAAGAAAGAGTAGAAGAGAAAAGAAATTGATACGGAACTGCAGCTCGGTCTCTTTGTAGAAGAGCCTAGAGTGGTGCAAAAAGGTCATCCTATTTAAAAGAAGTGATACAAAACCAGTCTTTAAAAGGCCTCGTGTGTCTTAAACTAACAAAGTGAAGTGTAACGTTTCCTTCTTATTTTTTGCAAAACCTTGGAGGGAAGAAGCTGTAAAACACTCAAGAGAAGGGGAAGACACATTTAACACCTGAAGTGTACTGCAAGCTTCCAGGCCACATCATAATGCAACCAAAATGTCACTGGGACTCTACCATCTGATAGCACTTTGCTGCCTGTTACCTTTTTTCCCTGTAAATGTTATTTTATTTGGACTTATATGGCATTAGATATGTTTATTATATATACTTTTGGCTATTGAGGGACAAATTGTCCTAAATGGCCCTCTTGCTTCCATCTTCCATCAGTAGGTCTCAAGTCAACTTGTGTGTTTGCTGGAAATTATATTTTGCTGATTTCTATTTCATGTTCTGCCACTTACCTTATTTGCTTTTCTTGTAGACTTATGTTCTGGATGTTCATCCCCTCAATCCGCGGATAGCTATGAGTGCTGGCTATGATGGAAAATTGATAGTCTGGGATGTAAGTTTCCGGTCCCTTTAGGTTCCAGGTTATTTCTTTGATTACTGATTGTTTTCATATTTTTGCTTCTAGATATGGGAAGGCAATCCAATCCGAGTATATGAACTCTCACGTTTCAAATTGGTTGATGGGAAGTTTTCACCGTAAGTTTCTAAGAACTTTTCCTATTTTTTTTTCCTGAATTGTTAATTTTTTATCTGACCTAAAAAGAATTTGGATGATCTTCTGTTTTGGTCTGATTACTTTCTTGGTTCTCTTTTATCTGACCCAAGAGGTTGGGATGGTTTTATAGTTATTCTACAGATTTCCCTACTGTGTATATGGTGCAGTTATTATTGTAATATTTATAAATACAGTATAGCAAAGCTTTCTGCTTCTTGCTATTTGCTGTTATATTCAGAACCTTCATTCTTATTAATTTTAATCCTTGTGCAGTAGACATCAGCTATCTATTGGCATTTTCTAAACTTAAAGCTGAACAACTATGAGACTTAGGTTTTAAGGATTTGGTTGTTGCTCCATCCTCTGGTGCTTCAGGTGGCATGCTAATTGTTTGGGATACCAGAGTTGTTCAGAGAGTGGATGTGGTTGAAGGATCCTTATCTTTGTTTGATTTACTAGATGTGAAAGGAAAAGGATTTTGGTGGATAACTTGCGTTTATGGACCACTGGCCCCTAGATTTGAGAATCTATTCTGGGAGGAATTCTCCTATCTTTAAGGCCTATGCAATCTACATTGGTGCATTGCGGAAAATTTTAAAGCATGTAGGTTTTCCACAAACACCTTGGATGGGGGAAGGGAGACAAGGACAATGCGAAGTTTTATGCCTTTATACAGGACTGTGAGTTACGGGACTTACAGCTAAATAATGCCCAATTTACCTGGATAGTGGTTAGAAGAAAAAGAATTTCGTCCTGTATAGATTGGTTTCTAGTATCATCATGTTGGGAGCATACATTCCCTGACTTGCTACAGGAAGTTTTACCGCATCCAATACCAAATCACTTTCCAATTATCCTGGAGTCCCAAAAGCTGAGTTGGGGTCCCACCCCTTTCAAGTCTGAGAATATATGGGTTCAACGTCCTGCATTTTTTGATAGAGTGAAGGAATAATGGCAGGAGGATCCAATTAGAGGGTGGGAAGGGTTCGAATTTGTCATAAACTAAAGCTCCTCAAGGATAAGTTAAAAGAAATGGAACAAAGAGCTTTTTGGCAGTATTAGGAAGAGGAAGGCAGATATCCTTGAGGAGTAGAAGTTTTTGGATAATTTGGCATCCGAGAATACCATTTCCCCGAGCTAAATCTGTAGGATGACCAAAATAAGTAATGAACTAGTGATTTTGAATAAAGAGGAGCAAAATTGGAGACAAAAGACTAGTTTGAAATGGGTTAAGGAGGGTGATGCTAATACCAAGTTATACCATAGGGTAGTTAATGGTAGTAGGAGGAGAAATGAGATTAAGGAGCTTGAGTTAGAAGGAGGGGTAGTGGAATGTGATATGGAATCTGTTGGATGATCAAGGAGTTCTTCAAGCAATAATATATCGAGGATGAAGTGTCTAGGCCTTTCATTGAAGGCGTTGATTGGCAGCCCGTTTGTATTGCCCAGGCCGAACATCTCGAGCATCAATTTGAGGAGGAGGAGATCCGAAAATCTACTTAGGCTATAAGTTCCAAAAAATCCCCTAGACACGATGGTTCTACTATAGTTTTTATACCAATCTTATTGGTATATAATCAAGGAGGATCTGCTAAAGGTTTTTCAAGACTTTTATTTGAATGAAAATGTTTGTAGTTTGGTGACCAGCATCTATAAAATTATTACTAAGATGTTGTTTATATACCTTAGTAAGGAATTGGATGACTCTATATCACGGGACCAAAGTGCCGTTGTGGGATGGGAGACAAATACTGGATATATCCCTCATTGCTAATGAGCCAGTAGAGTTTATCAGAAGAGCCAAGAGATAGGGGTTGGTCTTGAAGTTAGATTTTGAAAAGGCTTATGACCGGGCCAATTGGGATTTCTTGGATCTCACTATGGCACTTAAGGGTTTTGGGTATAGATGGAGGAGTTGGATGAGAAGGTGCCTGTCTTTTTTTTTTTAATAAATAATATTATTAACAATGGCATCAAATGAGAGTCAACCCATACACAAGATATTTACATACCTATTAGTAAATTAATATGGTTCCCTAAGTCCTCCATAGGGTACAAAACATGATCCAATAACAAAAAACAAGAGTTCAGAACCACCTATTCTTAATTAAATCAAAACCATTCTCTTCTACCCCTTTGAAAGCTCTTATATTCTTCTCCTTCCAAACCGCAAAAATTGTGATCAAAATGATGTCTGCATCTTTCTTCTTCTCACTGATTCCTTCCACACCCATAACTCATCTCTAACTGATGCCATCATCACCCACTTCACTCCTAATAACCCATAAATCATGGTCAAAAGCTTGTAAGCCTTTGGGCACCAAAGGAGCAGATGATTGCAAGTATCCACAGCCTTTTTACAGAAATAACAACCATTCACCAGAATCTCACCCCGTCTCATCAAGAGGAGGTGCCTGTCTTCTGTTTAGTTTGCAATCATTGTGCATGGCAAGGTGCAAGAGTGATTTAGGAGAACTCAAGGTATTAGAGAAGGCGATTCTCCATTGCTCCTTTCATTTTTCTTTGGTTGTTGACGGTTTAAGTAGGATGCTGAATGGGGTTCTGAATGTGGGGGCTATTGAGGGTTTTATGGTGTGTAAGGACAAACTTGGGGTGATCACACCTCTAATTTGTTGATAACACAATTTTGTTCATATCACACGATAATAGGTCAATCTGTAACGCTCTTACATTTGTGGGGGTGTTTGAGGATATGTCCAGGCGTCATATCAATATGGCCAAATGTAGTTTGGCTGGGATTAACATGGCAGATAACATAGTGAATAGCCTTGCAGAGGCAATTGGATGCAGAACCCCATCTTGGCCAATCGTTTATCTCGACATTCCCTTGGGGGGTAATCCCAGGTTAAATCCTTTTGGGATGGTACACTTAGCAAAGTGTCCAGATGGTTAGAGAGTTGGAGGTGGAGCCTTTTTCAATAGAGGGCAAGGTTATATTCATCCGGGCCTATCTGTCTCGCATTCCTATCTATTATGTGATCCTACTTAAGGTTCCAGCTGGAATCATTGAGCAGTTAGAGGGTGTAGTGAGGGATTTCCTATTTAATCGAGGATAGGACAGATCACCTTGTAAACTGAGAGGTTTATTGCAGGTCTAGAACTCTTAGAGGATTGGGTATCAGAAATTTAAAATCGAGGAATTTGTCATTATTTGTTAAGTGGCTATAACATTTTGCATAGAAAGCTAATTCATTGTGGCATAATGTAATTAAAAGTGTTACACAAATCATTGGAATGGTTTTGGATGTCCTGGCCATGAGATTTACCCGACACGGAAGTCCTTGGAAGGCGATTTTCAGCTTGCTTAACCTTTTAGCCCCTCTTACCAGATATAAAGTGGGGGATGGATCCAAGGTCCTCTTTTGGGAGGACCATTAGTTGCACAATAACCCCTTGGGGACCAATTTTCTTTTGTTGTTCTTGCTTTCGTCCTATCATAAAGCACCAATAGATCAATTCTTTTGCCTCTCTATTGATACGGTTAGTTGGAGTTTCTATAGCTTTAATGATAGAGAAACCAATGAGCCCCTCACTTTGTTAGGTCTTTTAAACTCTCTTCACCCATCCCAACAACCAGATTGCAGGGTTTAGATTCTACATTCAGCTGGGACGTACACCTTTAAATCATTTTTTACCATATCACAAAAACCTGGATTGTTACGGTAGCACCCTCGCCAAGACATTCTGGCAAGTTAAAGTTCCTTCAAAGGTGGTGTTTGCTCAATCGTCAATCAGTTAAACACCAACGAATACTGCAGATCCATAGGCCTAATCGTGCTTTGTCCCCCACTAATGTTTGTGTGATGTGTTATAGGAGTAGGGAGACACAGAATCATCTCTTCTCCATTATGAGATGGCTTGGAGATTATGGAGCAGGCTTTTTGGCATTCCAACCTATCTTGGGTTGTCCCTCCTTTGGACTTTCTTTGTGTTCATGCTTCAGAGGTTTTGGGATCAGGGTAAAGGCTAGACCATTATCAAGAGGTACGGTTTTTGCAGGGTTGTGGACTATTTGATTGGAAAAGAATCAACATATTTTTTATAATCATTCGCTACCTGACTCGATCCTATGGGAGAAGATGACCTTTGTGGCTTCTCCTTGGGCAGGCTCATGAGAAGTACGTGGAGATATTCTTCTCTGTTCTTCATAGAAGTTGGGATGCCATGATATTTTGACTAGTTGTCGCCTTCTATTACTAGTGTCTTATTTTGCTTACTTTTGTTTTTTTTTCTTTGTCCCTCAGCAATATGACTTGTTCGCTGTAATTCTTGTATTGTGTCCCTCTTTCCTCAATAATATTTCTTTTTCTATCAAAAAAAGAAAAAGCTGAACAACTATGATGAATCCCAAATTCTCTTCAGAGGCTTTATACATTTTGGTTCTCTTCCGTTGGATGTTCCCTCATGAAGAAACATGTGTGCTAAATTTTTTTAGCATTTATTTTCAGTGTTTTATTACTCATAAATGTCTCAATGGTATCCCATTGATGATAAAAGTTATTAACCTTTCTCACATAGGCCAAGAATCCATGTCTCAATTGCTATTTATTAGTTTTAATGTCAGATTCTTTTGAAGGTTGCTGTCCTTTATGTGGAGGATCTCGGTGATGCCATGATATTATGACAATACTTTATTTAAAATACTCTTTATGTATATGGGCAGTGTGCCTTGGAGCCTTGTGAATCTTTTTTATTTAAAAAAAAAATATTTTTTATTTGAGATAAGAAATACCTCCCATCGAAATATTGATGGATATACATGCAGTATCTTGCTGCAGAAAACTCTGTTGCAAATTACTTTCTCTTTTAATACAGGGATGGAACATCTATTACCCTTTCGGATGATGTTGGTCAGTTATACACATTAAGCACTGGCCAAGGAGAGTCACAGAAAGATGCTAAATATGATCAGGTAGTGAATTCCTTGGTTAACTAGTGAAGCCCTTGACTCTCTCATAACTAGTTCTACAACTCGTTGAGAATCTCAAATACACTTGTTTTACAGTTCTACCTCGGTGACTATCGCCCAATTATTCAAGATGCACATGGAAATGTCCTTGACCAGGTTTGTTGACCAACTTTTCAGTTATTTTTATGTGTACATGTATATCGTATGCATACATGCATCCTACTTATGTAATGCACACTTTATGATACAATCATCTGGAAACCTTGATTCAGGAAACTCAACTTACACCTTACAGGCGGAATATCGAAGATCCCCTTTGTGACTCAGGTTTATAACATTCCTGTTCAAATGGACAAATGAGGCCTTTGTTTTAAAAATATGACAGTAAAATAAACTTAGGCCTTTTATGTTCTCTTGATTTATTTTTTCTCTGTAATTTTTCCTCTTCAAATGTCAATCTTTTTCAAGTGCTAGTGGGATTGTGGAATTCTAGGTATGATTCCCTACCCAGAACCCTATCAAACCATGTTCCAGCAACGACGGTTGGGAGCTTTGGGTAGAGAGTGGCGTCCTTCTTCTTTAAAACTCACTGTGGGGCCAGATATCACTCTAGACCTGGATTACCAGATGCCACCCTTAGCAGATTTGGACATAGTAATTGATCCACTGCCAGAATTTTTGGATGCCATGGATTGGGAACCAGAAAATGAAGTGCAAAGTGACGACGCTGACTCAGAGTACAATGTTACTGAAGAGTACTCAACTGGAGGGGAGCAAGGAAGTTTA